CAAAAAAAAAAAAAAAGAAAAGAAAAAAAAGAAAAAACATACCCTAGTGATTCTCAGCTCTGAAATCCCAAGGGAGTTCATGGCATGCACATTTACAGAAGTTGGCTACAAGGTCAGACCATTCATTAGTGGCAAAGCAAGGAATTCAACCAAGTCTTCAAGCCCAGCCCATTCGGGCTTACTTACTTTCGTGTGTGTGTACACATAGCCATCAGGATTGGCCACCGGTAGCAAGAAGATATCCATTTTTTCCAAGATGGAGGTGATGACTGGATCCTTCTGGTAATCAGACGCAATCTAAGCAGAGACACCACACTTGTCAGTTACCCTATTGGGGCTGGGTCGCTCGCTCTAAGCCAAGTGTCTTCCCAAGGTGCCCAGTATCCACCTAAAACAGCCTCCACCCTCATGAGCTCAGCTCGCGGCAAAGCCCCTGGAGCCCTTTGGACCTGGGAGGACATGGCTGCGTGACGTCAGTTGCAACAAGTCCTGGGTGTCTGCCTTAGTCGTTCCTTCCTGGAGGAAGGAGTCACACATCATAGCAGTTTCTAGGAACCTGAACCCCCAGAGAAGGAGAGAAGATACAAGAGGGGACCCAAAAAACCCGAAATTATCCTTTGGAGGGCAGCCTCCTTGCAGTACAGGTTTCTCCCACCAGGTAAGTGTTCTAGGAACCCATCGGCATCAGTGGACCAGCTAGTGTTGTGAGAGGCTACACTCAGCTTCAGTGGATTTTTTTTTTTTTGGAGATTCTTTCAACGCATTTGTCCATTTCATGATGGGTGATTGATGAGTGCACTCACCCACAGTTTTTGACCAAAAATGGCATGGCCCCCATCCTCCACCCTCTCCCTTCACCTGATCACACCCCAAGTGACTTTTGTTGCCCTGGATGAAAAATGTCCTCAGCCAGGCATGGTGGCTCACACCTGTAATACCAGCACTTTGGGAGGCAGAAACAAGAGGATTGCCTGAGCCCATGGGTTTGAGACTAGCCTGGGCAATTTGACGAGACCTTGTCTCTACAATAAATCAAAAAAATTAGCTGGGCATGGTGGCGTAAGCCTGTAGCTCCAACTACTTGGAAGGCTGAGGAGGAAGGACTGCCTGAACCCAGCAGGTCTTGTGGTGGCCATGAGTGTGGCCACTGCACTCCAGCCTGGGCAACAGAGTGAGACTCTGACTTAAAAAAAAAAAAAGAAAGAAAGAAAGAAAAAAGTCCTCCAAGGGAAATGTTTTGCCGATGTGGAAGAGGTGAAACAAAAAACGGCAGAAGCACTAAAAAGCATCAAAATGGACGAGTTCAAAAACGGTTTTGAGCAGTGGAAAAAGCATCTTGATAGGTGTATTGCATCAGACAAAGAGTACTTTGAAGGTGACTGAAGTTTAAACATGGAAGAATATACAACTTTTTATAAATTTCTGGTTTTGGGGGTCCCCTGCATATATTCTCTACTCACACCACCTCATCCTTCCCAGCACGGGCTCAGAACAGACTTTCTGGAAGGAACAGGAGGTTCCTGAGGGCCGTGGAGCCTGAGTCTCACTACCATTTGCTCTACCCCCTTCCTGTGGGGTGGCGCACAGGTCAGTGTCACAGGGCCACCTCTGCTCCCCATGCGCTCCCCCCACCCCCACGAACACACTGCATCCTTCAGCCACCATGGCTGACCAGGGAGACTTTGGCCATCTGCTTCTCCAACCTGAAAAGGTACCAACCAACTGGACCTGTGCCGGGCACCCTCCCACCTCATGTCCCAGATCCAGTCACATGGGACATGGCAGGGGCACCTTCGGGCCCACCAGAATCCTTGGCTAACACCAGGCGACATGACCTTCCTCGCCGTCCAGATGGCGGTGGCGTGGGAGACCCACTCGCGTGCGTGGATGCCTGCATTCAGCCAGATGGCCGGCCGACTGCCTGTCTTGGTGCTGAACTGTGGAGGGAGAAGGAGCCGGAAATGACCTGCTGCCCACACCTCCACCCACCTGTGAGCCCCAAACTTGCCCTCATTCGTTGAATTCATTTGCAATCAGAGACCCAATGTTCCGGAGGCCAGCGTCTATTGAGACCAAATGTTCTGAGGCCACCATCTATTTAGCAGAGAGCAGGGAGCTTAATTGATTGGCTCCGGGCAGCCTCGGCCTCTGCAGCGGTCAGAGCAAATGCGGAGAGGAAGCCATTATTACCGAGCATTATAATGCCGGTGTCTGTCTGTTAACATCCTGTCTCCTGAAAAGCCTCAGATGGTGTCCCAACAGCGAGAGACATCAGGGTGTTTGATGCAATCAATGAATCTGGTTTTGAATCAGGGAGAAAGGGGCTACGCCCTAGTGCTCTGTAAGTGGCAGTGATGACTTCCCGTTCATGCCCTTGCTGTGGGCCTCCTGGGTCAGAGCTGGAGCTGGTGAATCCAGGGTCTCCGGTGCATCAGCAAATAACCGAAATGTAACCGTTTTTTGAGATAAAGCCAGCTCGGTGCAGGTCTCCTCTCTCAGAGCTAAGGTGCCCCGTGCTGTAAACCCGGGTTCTTTGGGGGCTTATGGAAAGCTAAGGGCCAGCAAAGTCTTAGCACATCAGTTGTTCCATGGTTTTATGCCCAATTTCCTTTTTATTCATTCAGCTGGGTTATTTTTGTAATTTATGTTCTTGTCATCGTCTCTACTTCCTTGGCCAATGTAGACCTAGATCTGTTAGAAATAAGGTTTCGAGGCCATTGCCTTGCTAGACTCTGGTGCGGCCGTGTGCTCTTTGAACCATGGCTGTCGCCATGCTTCCTTGCTTTGGCCCCTTCCCCCACCTTGGGGAGGTGAAACCTCTCTCTCTCTCTCTCTCTCTAATTTACTTTTAAATAAACTATATTTTCTAATCTAAAAGAAGGAAAGAAAGAAGGTTTCAAGCAGCCAAGGCCCACAGGCTGGGCTTCACATTACATCAAAAATTAAAATTAGCTTCCTAGGCTGTGTTCCCATAAGCACCCCTAAAAGCAGAACAGGGTTTGTAGGCCTGGCCCAACGTAGCCTGCTGCTTACGGAAGCTGAGAATTAAGTCCCCAGATTGGTCCCTCTGAGAACTTTCTGGAATACTCATCATCACCCTCTAATCCCTCCCTTCAGCCACAGCTGGAATGGGTTGTTCTCACTCCCCTGCCGTTGGGCAAAAGCAGGGGATCCTGGTTGACCCAGCTCTGGTTCCTGCGCGGTACGCCCCAGCCCCGCTCTCCCCTCACCCCCCAAAGTCAAGGAGACCAAAGGCCACCCCTCCTCGGAGGTCTGGGAACGGGGACCCTGTCCAGCCGGGAGCCTTCCAAGTGCACGCGGCCTTACCTTTAGGACATACATTGGACGGTTTTCGTGCGAATTCCCGATCTTCACCTTGCTCACCAGGTGAGAGGACTCCGAGGCTATGGCGCCCATCTCGCGCTGGAGCTGAGGCATGAAAAAGCAAACCCAGGGGGATGTTAAAAACATGTTCTGTGAACTTGGCCTTGTTGGTCTTACTGATTTCTTCCAGGCCCCTGACCTTGAAGTAGGCCAGATTCTCGGCATGGAATACTTATTATGAGGACCTACCTTAGGGCCCTTTTCTACAATTTTCTAGGGAACAGCACGTTTCATTCTTCCACAAAAGTGTAGTCCACCCAACTAGCATAGAGACTCATGCGGCTGTTGCCCCAACAGTCTGGCCCTTGGTGCCATGCTAGACTAGACAGTCAAAGGGCAGCAGGGCTCTTGAAAACAGTGCTCTTCAGAAATAAAAATAAAACAATGCTCTCCAAAAAAAAATAAAACAGTGCTCTCCAAACTCCTGTGAACACCTTCTTCGTTAGCAAAGAAAGAAATTTAGCATGCCCCATACCTATACCTATATCTACACCTACTACCATTCAAATATATTAAATACATTGTTAAAAAATGTAAATGGTCACATTAATAATAAACATAAATCTATGCAGAAATGTAAACAGAAGTTGTAAGAGTTCCTTCCTCCACCCCAATGGGCCATGTTACTTACACCCTGTGTACAGGCACCCTGCCTTGGACATAATATTTTTTCTTTTTTTAGTTAGGGTCTCACTCTGTCACCCAGGCTGGCATGCAGTGGCACGGCTCCAGCTCACCACAGCCTCGGCCTCCTGGGCTCCGGTGGTTCTTCTGCCTCTGTCTCCTGAGGAGCTGGGATTACAGATGTGTGCCACCACACCTGGCTACTTTTTTATATTTTGTAGAGATGAGGTTTCACTATGTTGCCCAGGCTGGTCTTGAACTCCTGGGCCCAAGCGATCCTCTTGCCTTGGCCTCCCAAAGTGTTAGGATTACAGGTGTGAGTCACCATGCCTGGCCTGAGATAATTCCTCCTAAGGCTTTGTGAGAGCAAGTAAGAACTGCCATTAAGTGGCTAAGAATACACCCATTTGCTTTTGGAGGTGGGGTGGGGGGTTGAATGTAAAGAGAACGTACCCATCTTAGTTGCTCAAACCATCTGAAGGCCAAAGAAAGAAAATAAATGTGTTTGTTTAGTCCTGAAGATAGAAAGAAGCCGTTATGCAGGGGAGGAAAAGGTGCAACCGATTTAGAACAGACTCAGGCCGAAGGGCTTATCAGGCCCGCAGTCAACGCGGCAGCCTGAGCAGAAGCAGGAGCCGCCCCCAAACGCAAGCAAGCCTGAAAATATACAGGGAAACTCACGTTGGGTTAGAAGCCACACAAGGAGAACCAGGGTGGGGGCAGGAGAGGAAGACAGGGAAGCGCATATCTGCAGCCAACCTGGAGGGGGCGTGGGGGCATGGGTCCCAGCCTGGGGCAAACCACTGTGACTTGAGAGCTGAGAAACGGCGCCCTGGAGAGTGGAGGGAAAGCAGGATGGCGTCCCGAGCCCCAGGAGGAGATAGAGTCACCTGGGAAGAGTGAAAACGCCAAGCTGTGGCCAGACGCGGGGTCCAAACCCACAGCGCCGCCACCAGCACTACGTGCGCCAAGGCATGGGAGCCAGAAGCCACAAAAGGCAAAATCCCACAGAGACCTGAGAGAGCCTAAGTGGGTGTAGGGTAGGAGATCTTTTTTTTTTTTTTTTTTTTTTT